TGTTTCACATTCTTGTAAATCCCTTTAACGCCTGACTTACTAGCTGAGAGTTAGAACCTGGTAGCTGGTTTTTCATTCAAGGTGTTATAATATCATACTTCACATGTCCCCTTAAAACTCCACTACACATTCACGAGGAAATGAGAACACAAAAGGCAAATGATGTCTTCATGTTATGATGAAAATAGTATGACCTCAAACACACCCTTGCAAGGATTTCCTGGGACCCCCAGAGATCTCAGACCACATTTTAAGAATCACTCATCGATAGAAATCAAAGTAATGTTCAAAACTTGGTTAATAAAGAGTGTGAATTCAAGCTTACTTTGAGATTTTTGACCTAGGGATATGTTGCAGTAACATATTTCATTACTGAGCCTGCTAATTCTAAGAGTGGACTTTTCTTGTAACTGAGACAACCCAGGTTGCATGAATGGGTCGGTGGACCCTCTCTGTCACCTCGAAAGGCCGGGTGGGTCTTGGCACAATGAGGAGGGTGACCGTATGGCTCCCTGGCCTGGGACATTCCTGGTTTGTTCCTGTTGTCCCAGAGTAATTATTAGTAGGGCCCCTTCCCTCTCAAAAGTATCCTTGTTTGGGGGATAAATTATGTGGTCACCCTGACAATGCCTTGCAAAAGCAGTGCGAGATGCTGCTTCTTCCCGTTGTGGGCAGGCCTGGAAGCAGCCATGCTGCATTTGGTTTACACGGTGATACTGCACCAACTTCTCCTAAAAGGCAGCCAATCATGGGAGAAACTCCTCCTGATCCCTTGGTTTCTGTGTCTTCGTTTGCTTTCCTAAACTATTGACAACAATCACCCCTGACAGTTCCATCTGACAGCACGCGCTGCTTGTCTTCTCGCGATGACCTAGCTCAGAATCTGAAGCATACGATGTCACTTGTCCAACTGTTTCAAATTGGTTAGACTATAACCTATAGATTGAGGGCTACAAATTCACCAGACTGGGTTAACCACGAGGCTAATAAAACACTAGGCAAAACCTAACACATAGATTCAGCCAATCACCAGAAATTGAGGCAATTCAGTAGGACAAGAGACTTCTTTGAAAAAGTCTTAAGCCTACCAGGCCGAACCCGGTGAGCATGGCAGGGGGTATGAAAAGGACTGGAAAAGAAGTGCTGTAAATTCTGATGAGGGAACCTTGGGGCTGACATGAATTTGGCTTTGCATCCCCAAGTGGCAGAGAAACCTCAGCAGTCACCAGTGCTGTTGGAGAGTAGGGCAAAATTATAAGAACATTTTTACGAGTTGTGGCTGGCAAGCCCTCGCCTGTTAAAACTCTTCAAAAACCAATGCCTTGGTGGAGGTAACAGTTACTGTTTACTGTAGCTCTGGTTGTCAGGGGTTACTGCGAAGGTCCCAGCTTTCCATGACATCAGCAGCATTCCAAGGGAAGTGTGTGTCAGTGACTTTCAGTAATGACTCCCTTTTCCAAACGTTCAAAGCCCCTGCCAAGCTGCCCTACACCTGCGCACCAGCTGAGTTAGAGGAAAAGGAAAAGTAAGATGGATTAAGTGGGATTTTTGTCTGGGTTCCTTAATGAGGCTAAAGGCTTTCTTCTTGCAGTGTTTGATTTTGTGTAATAAATTGATGCCAATCCCTTTAGGAGTGACGTGACTCATCCTTAACTTTACATAAACCAGTCCTGTCGTGACCTCTCGCTGTCATAGTCTGGACTAGCCTTTTCTGCAGGAAAAGTTGGGGGCTCCGTGAGATGATGAACATGGTATGCTGACACTCCAGAAGGGTTTCTGAGGGAGGCATCTGCTGCTCCCCAAATTCGCAGGCAACAGAAGCAGGGAGGAGATGTTACTGCGTAGCTGCTTTAAGGATCTACTTGGATTTCAACATTTCAAACCAGCGGTGTATTCTCAGAGCAGCAGCAGGTCCCATTCCAGACACTGTCCCCACCAAAACGGGGGTCTGGTTGACCAACTCCCAGGGTGCCCACAGCCCACTCAAGAAACTTGCGACAGGTCGTGGGGCCAGTGCTAATGGTGTGCTTATACAAGACTTTTCTTCCCCAAGGTTCACACATTTTATCAACATTAAATTCATCACTATTCGTGACAACCCTCCGAGAGGTGGCAAATATTAGTTCAGGTGGGAAAAACTGGGGGTAGGGTTGCAGAGAATGAAGTCCTCTGCCAAGAGTGAGGCAGCGGGCCAGCCCTCAGAGCCTACTTCTACCCCCGAGACAACTGACCCCTTTCAGGGCTCCCTCGGTTCTGGGAGGCTAGACCAACCTTTTGTCCCAACCTAAGGGCTGTGAAAAACAAGCACTGCTGTTAATGAGGCAAAGCCTGAAGCAGTCAAAGGAAAACAGGACAATTTTATGTAAAGGCAGAGAGGAGCCCGGCTGGTATGGCTCAGTGTTTGAGCGTCGACCCAGGAACCAAGAGGTCACTGGTTCGATTCCTGATCAGGGCACATACCCAGATGTGGGCTCCATCCCCAGTGTGGGGAGTGCAGGAGGTAGCCAATCAATGATGTGTCTCTCTTACCAATGTTTCTCTCTATCTCCCTCCCTCTCTCTCTCTTAAAAAAAAAAATCAATAAAAACTTTTTTTTAAGGCACAGAGGAATGTCCTCTTCAGGGTTTTGATGAGAGTGACTTATGCATCCATATCCGCTTCTCTGAACAACACCCGGCAGAGCATCCATCTGTACCTCAGTCTCCCCATCTATACAAGCTTGAAAAATGCCATTTAGAGGATCTCCAAGAGACACTTGGAAATTGTCATAACCAATGTTGTGAACTGCACAAGTCTTTGAGGAGGATCTCCAAGGTGCCCTCTTTTTAGTACATTGCACAGTTCTAGAAAAATTCTCTTTAATTACTAGTATATTTGTTCTTAAGAATTAGGAATAAATTAATATGCCTTCAGGTGATTTTTTAAAAAATAAAAAGCCTCTATAATTACAAAAAATATTCATCTTCATCTTGCAGAAACAACAAGGAATTTCTTCTTTTAAAGCGGTCGGGGTGGCATCCTCTGTGGTGTAGGGCAGCCACAGATAATGTACTAACAAAAAAGGCTGTTTTCCCAATTTCTCTTAGGCTTCACCAAAACAGGATGCAAACATGAACCAGTACTAGAGGGGTCATTTTCGTTCAACCACAGATTGCCAATGAGATGGGAAAACGCACCACTTGAATTAAACTATGAAAATCTGTCCAGTGTAATCTCACATCGGGTCTTGAGCCTCAGTTTGTTTAAATAATTTTTAAAAGGGGCATTTTACAATTATGGCTTGTTAACAAGAGACCGAGCTAGTACCAGTTAGAAAACAAGTCTTTGAATAAACTTTCTGGTACCTAGAATTAACAAAGTTATTATTCCTGAGACTAAATTCCACAAATCATTTTCATAAATAGATAGAAAAGGAGAGATTTTTATTCAAAATGCTTTCTTAAATCTTAAGAAAAGAGAATTGGGAAAAAAAAGTTTCTTTTCTTCTTGAAGATAAAAGATTTAATGAGCGACTAATCCTCTCAGTAAAGTTCCTTTGGTAATTGCCCTATGCTAAGCCACACTAATTTTGCTAGCAGCCTTTGCTGCTAAAAGATGTTGTTTTATTATGTTAAACTCCACACAAAAGCAATGTAACAAAAAGGCAAAATATGCTTCTGATTTCGTTATGCTACCAACCTATACTTATCCAGAAATTCTAACTGCCAAGTGTCTTTTATCTCATGCAGACTTCATCTTTCACCACCCACCATTCACCACATGAAGTAACAACGTCATTAGGAGTGGAAAACTGTGGGAATAAGAACCTGAGCCCTGGAAAAAAATACTAAATGGGAATCTGCCTCCAGCTCTGCAGATTTTCGAGCTTGCCCCGGCCCCTTGGGTCTGGAAGTGAGACTTTTGTGCCCAGAATATGGCTGGATGAGGAAGGCAGTCTCAAATCACACCCCGAGGGCTCGGGAACAGAACACACAGTCTACAGTCCTCTAAAGAGGTCGGAGGGCTTGCGGGCCAGAGGATCCTTTCTCATTGGCCCTTGGTGATGTCATGCCCATGTCTCCAGGGCCCAGGAAATGCACCATGACTAATGGAGTGCCTCATTTTCTGTGAATACACATTCCATCTCAGAGGGGCAGCAACAGGCAGAGCTTCAAGGCCAAGAAGCCCAGTGAGAGAATGCCAGTCTGCCCTACACAGAGGGCCTTCAGTAGTCCTGCAATAGGCTGCTCTTGTTTGGCTCAGAAACCCATCAGCAATTGCCTGTATGCCTGTGGCCTGGACTTGGGCAGGATAGGAACCCTAAAATGGGTTCGTTTTGTTTTTTACTAGTAAATTACTCTCTTTAAAGAAAGAAAAGTGGTCACTGTAATAGGGCAAACATAACTTCCAGATTTCTAATGTATTAAGGCAGGGCTCAGCAAACTTCTTCTATAAAGGACAAGATAGCCCTGACCGGTTTGGCTCAGTGGATAGAGCGTCAGCCTGCAGACTGGAAGGTCCTAGATTCGATTCCGGTCAAGGGCATGTACCTTGGTTGCGGGCACATCCCCAGTAGGGGGTGTGCAGGAGGCAGCTGATCGATGTTTCTCTCTCATTGATGTTTCTAACTCTCTATCCCTCTCCCTTCCTCTCTGTAAAAAAAAATCAATAAAATATATTTAAAAAATAAAAAAATAAAAAATAAAGGACAAGATAATACAAATTTTAGGCTTTGCAGGCCATATGGTCTCTGTTGAAACTACTCATTTCTGCCCTTGTAGTACAAAAGCAGCCATAGACAATACCTAACTAAATAAGCATGGCTATAGGCAGTAACACTTGATTTACAAAAACAGGCAGCATCTGGCTTTGGCCCATGGACCATAGTTAGCTGGCCTCTGCGCTAGTATTGAAGAGTGGACCACCCCTTCCTCTGCCACACACCTGGGCCAATGTACTCTCAAATAATAGTGCAGTTGCAACAGGAAAGGATGTGAAGGAGTTTGCACAATATACCTGTGATGGTTATCCCATGTAAAACCTGAAGACAGTTTTTACAGTCAGGTCGAGGGTTTCAGAATGTAGGCTCTGGATCAAATGCCTGGATACAAATTCTTACTCTGCCACCTCTGAATTTAAGGCCTTAGACAAGTTACTTTATTTCTCTGTTCCTTGGTTTCTTCATCTGCAAAATGAGGTTCCAAATTGTTCGTATTCAATAGGGTTAATATGAAACTTCCAGATAACAGACAAAGCTTAGCGTAGTGCCTGGAGCGCTATAGTGCTCAATTATTATCTGCCATTATTGCTAGATTCTTTTTAAAGTGATCATAATTCCTACCCCTGATTATAGTACCCCAAAGTGAAGAGACATAAATCGCCACAAATGCTAGTTCACTGTGAACTTCTTTCCAATTCCATTAATACCTATTAACACTATCATCATCTTTAGTAGTTGCATAGAATACCACATGGAATGCACCATAATTGAACCAGATTCCTATAGCTCAACATTTGTTTACTGTCCTTTGCTATTATAAACAAAGGTATAATGAACATCCTTAAACACGCACCTTTGAACACTTGTTCAGTTCTGTTCCTTGGAGCAAAAAGTTATGCAAGTTTTCAAAAGAATTTGTAATTATTCTGCCAACTGGCTGCCCAGAAAGGTTACCAACTTCCATCTGTACCAGCACTGAAAGAGAGGATCTGTTTACTAACATTCTTAACAACATTACGAATACTATGTTTTAACACTAAAAAGTCTAAGACCAGGAAAGGTTAAATGACTTGCTCAATCTTAATGAAAATGTGTAATTATCAATAATAATCCCATTTTGTGGTTGAGAGAGCTGGAGCCCAGAAGTTTACTTAAAATAGCCAAAGTTCTCCCGATAATGCAAAGGAGGCAGAATATGATCAAACTGGAAATAAACTTCATCCTATTATTGGGCCTTGCAAGGCTCACCCTAGCAGGCAAAAGTTAATTTTTAAACAGAAATATACCGCTTTCTAGGAGACAAATTTAATTTTTCTTTCTTTTGACAGTGAGCTAATCCAAACAGAGCCCTTTTATCTTTGTGTAAAATTAAATAACCCTATACACCAAATGCCCTCTTCCCAGAGGAAAAATTTAAAAACCCGGAGCATTTGACAAGAAAGTCACAGATCTAGGCATCTGTTAAGATTTACTTCATTCACTCTCTCCTATTATCTTGCATTATTTTCTTCTTAACACTTATCACCATTTAAAATGTATTACTTCTTTGTTTGTAACAACCAAGTCCCATGAGGAGTGGGACTCAGTCTCCTTTACTGTCTTTCAGGACCTAGAACAGTTCTGGACACAAAACAAGTGAGTTTTAAATATTTACTGTCTGAATGAATCCTGCCAGATACTAACTATGTATTTCCCCACCTGTACAATCTCCAAGGCAGGCAGGCTTTCGCATTATATATTCACCCGATTTTCACTCCCTGCTTACAATACTGCAAAACAAACCAGCTTCCTAACGGAGAAGCGTAGCCTGGCACTCACCAGCCGAGTTCCCAGCCAATTCTATCCCAAGCAAACCTCCACTATTGGTTGAACTATGCCACATGCTCACACATGCTAATATACCAGGCTATCCCAGGAGATTCTGCCACTGTCAGCCCTTGTAAACATATGCACTGATTTTAAGTATTTGCTTGATTGGTTTGTCTCCAAAAAAAGCTCCCCAGGTGGATCAGTACTTAGATATAAGTTTTAAAGTCAAATACACAGTGGTTTCATTTAAAGATATAATGAATATGGTAGTTAGTGTACTACCCAACGTCCATTCCGTCCCAAATGACTGATCTGGTCCAATGTGGCCCAATATGCTATCCACCAGCCCCATACAGTTACTTACATTTAAATTAATTTTAAAAACTCATTTCCTCAGTTGCACTAGCCACATTTCAAGTGCTCAATAATTGCCAGGTGTGGCTAGTGCCTACTATATTAGACCGAACAGATACCAAACATTCCCATGACTCGAAAAGTTCTACTGGACAGTGTGGGATCTAGTCAAACATAGTAATCCTATTCTCCTGGCCCAAAACTGATTTTTAAATGGGCATGTAAGAGAATTTCGGCCAATAAAACAAACAAAAAAGTCTGTCAAATGGCTCTTGGAAAAGATTTCCTCATTCCTAAAAAAGTTACACAAGAGAAGGTCTCTCTTCTATCTTTGGAAACGTTGGTTTAGAAGGTGATGGAAATTCTGCAGCCACTTCGTGAGCATGAGGGGAGCCAGTCTAAGGGAAAAGCCTAACAACTAAAGATGGCAGAGCAGTGGCAGGAATAGGAATCCTTAATGAAATCACAAAGCTGCTTAACTGTTGTCAACTCTGTATGCTTATTTTGTGAAATAACAAAATTATAAATGTCCTTATTAAGTCATTTGTAGTTGAAGCTTTTGTAACTTATAGACAGATGCAACCTAATCATAGAGCTTTGTTTGTATTTTTTACTCTCTTATAAAAAGGTTCTAAGCAGTCAATGCACTACTAAAATCTACCAAGAACTCTCCACCTCAATGTAAGGTCCCAAAGTTTGGCTACAATAATGCTAAAGAATATTGTCTCTCACAGATCTAGGCACCTTAGTGTCTTTCTCCCTGTGTTACTCATTTCCATTTACCCTGTCACCCTTTCCTCCTTAATTTAATATTAAAATTAAAATGTAATATAAAAATATTTTGCATTTGCAAACAAGATTTCCATAGTGAAAGCTCTGCTTCTGATGAAGGCAATAAGAATTCCGGGTAGGATTAGAAAGGTCAGTGTTCTCAGAACTAGGAGTTTCCCCAAAGGTCACGGAGTTCAGCTCCTTCGTGTACAAGTGAGAAAACTGAGGCCCACAGAAATAAAGTAACTGTGGTAGACAGAACAAAGGCCTTCCAGAGATGACCATGTTCTACCCCCAGAATCTGTTAATATGGCAAAAGGGATTTTTTCAAATGTATTTAAATTGAGGATTTTAAGATGGGAAGATTATCTTAGATTGTCTAGGGGAGCCGAATGTAGTTATAAGGAACCTTAGAAGAGGGAGGGTAGAGAGTAGAAGACAGTAAAAGGAGGTGTAACAGCAGAACCAGAGGTTGGAGTGATGCCCTTTGAAGATGGAAGAAGGGACCATGAGCCCAGGAATGCAGGGCCTCTAGAGGCTGGAAAAGGCAAATAATTGATTTCTCCCCACAGTTTCCAGAAGGAATGCAGCCCTGCCAACACTTTGACTTTAAACTTCTTCCCTCCAGAACTAAATTTGTATTGTTTTATGCCACTCAATTTGTGGTAATTTGTTCTGGTAACAATAGGAAACTAATATACATAGTTGCCTTCCCCTAAGTTACCCAGCTTGTGTTGGTAATGCTAGAATTCAAATCTTCTGACTCTAGGCCCAGTGTTTCTCCTACCAAAACTTCTGTGTTACTTCCTTTTCCGTACTACTTTCTCAAAGATAGGAAAATCTCAGTTCAATGCCTTTATTGTGTTATAAGGAAGAGTAATTGATTAGCTACAATATGAAACCATGTAGTGGCTAACAGCACAGCCTCTGGTGGCAGATGGACTGGTTTTGAATCCTGACTCTACTGCCTATTAAGTGTATGGCTTTGGGCAGATAATCTGGCTATTCTACTCCTCAGTTCCACCATCTGTAAAATGGGGCTAATAATATTACCTAATAATATGATGATGACTTAATTAGTAAAGTATTTGTGAAGAAGATAAAACATGCCCAGTGCAGAGTAAGCAGTATGTAAGTGTTCTAATAAACTTCTTAAAATATGGCTGATCTATCTACAACCTATCATATGTGAACCGACTCACAACAAACAAAATATTAAAGACTATTGGGTAACAAAAGAAATTTAATTCAAAATTAAATCTGCGACTCAGACTGTTTAACTAATTTGTATTTTATTTTTTATGTTTTTAACTAACACAGTTTAGATCCTATTTTAGGCACATTTGTGTTTGGGCACATTGCATTTAAGCCACACTACAAATAAATCAGCCAATTTACAGATAGGAAAAATATCTCATTTATAACCTAAAACCAACATGGAATCACAGTTTTTATAAATAATACAAGAGCAGGATTTTAAAATCATGTACTATCCAAAAGGTATTTGATTAACTGGGTCATTTAAATGGCTGGGCCTCATTTAATAGAATAAGGTGAATTGTAGCCTTTGAGATATCATATTTGAAACTCTTCAATCAGGCTCAAGGTAACGTAAGTCTCTGCCAAAAACTTCCCTATTGGCAAGGAAGTAACTAAATATGAGGATGTTCCTCTTCATAACATATTCTCATGTGTATGCTTGTAAGTATTACTTGCCTAGCTTGGTTTTCATCTTAATGGAATGCAACCACTCCCAAAGCATTAAAACCATTCACTGAGATTTAGACAAACTGTATTTCAGATGAGTGAGAACAATTCTGCAAATAGAGATGGGGAATAAGAATCTTTAATTGAATCAGTGGAACACTGACATACAACTCAAGCCAAAAATAGTAAGAAATAAGAATGAAAATATAAGCTCCCTGAGGGCAGCACCTATGTTCTACCCTGCTCCTCATTACAGCCCTGAACTGGGCACAACCACGACACCTGGTAGGTGTGCAGTATTTGTGGAATGAACAAATGCACTAACAAAGGGAGAGGCCATAGGCTAAATGTGTACACACAAGGCACTGTCATGTTTGGGGTGTGTGGAGAGGGAAATATTAGTAATATGGGGTGTCTTCATTTGCAAAGTCAGTGGTACAAGTAGAATTACATGTCTTCTTTCCAGTCTGTAATGAAATCTTACTGAAACTCAAAATGAAACTACCTCCTTAAAGCAGCTAAATTTTCTTTTTCTTTATTAATTAAAAGACCACTGATGAGAAAAACAGGTGTTGGAATACATAGGCATCCCACTATACTTGAACACTGTATAGTGAATGATTTTATTCATCTTAAATGTAACCATGTCTAACCTGAAAAAGGATAAGATGGAGCAGGTCATCTGGCAATCTACAACTCTTTAGATCAATCACAATATGCAAAAGCTATTCCTTCATTACTTCAAATGGAATCAGCTTCATCAAAATTTAAAACGTGAGCCCTGAAAAAGACCCTGCCTGTTAAGAGGGCGAAAGATAACTTACAGCCTGGGAGAAAATACCTGCAAACCACATAGCCAACTAAGTAGGTCTATCTAGACTATGAAGAGAACTCTCAAAACTCAACATTTCAAAAACAAACATTCCATTTGGAAAATGAGCAAAAAGATATCCACAGACATTCCACCAAAGAAGATACACAGATGGCAAGTAAGCACATAAAAAGATGTTCAGTAACATTAGCCATTAGAAAAATGCAAATTAAAATCACAATGATATGTCACCTCATACCTATCAAAATGGCTAAAATAAAAATCAGTGACAGCACCAATGCTGAAGAGGATGCAAAGAAACTAGATGACTCACACATTGCTGGTGAGAACGTAAGATGGAATAGCCACTCTGGAAATAATTGGACAGTTCCCTTTAAAACTAAAAATGGATTTACTCCACAACCCAGGATTGTACTTTTAGGCACATATCCCAGAGAAACGAAAACTCATTTTCATTTAGAAACTTGTACATGAATGTTCCTAGCAGCTTTAGTCATAACGT